AATCCGTCCGCGAATGAAACACTCACAACCACCCTCCTCGCCAACACATCGAGCAAAATAACAGAAAGTTTATACCCAGCAAACTCTACGAGACTACTTCCCATGAGGTTCTGACAGACTCGCCAGCGTTCATTGACAACACTGAGATGGATAGCGCAACAAAGGAGCATCTCACAGTTTGTCATCCACGATGCTCATTCCTAGGCCTTCCGCGCGAGATACGCGACTTGATTTATGAAGCAAGCGATATGCTTCCTAGCGGACTTCGCTTGGTAGCGAGGTATTCGCATCACGACGCCGTCCAATTGCCCTTCTTTGAGATATGCCGACAAATGCGAGAAGAGGCTCTGGACTTCATTGGTCGCCGAAACACGATTGTCCTCGCCTTCAACTGGGGGCCCTCTGATCAATTCTACAGGAAAGATATCGGAACACTGAATCGCCCGCCGTTCCACCTGGACCCATCAGGGCTTTCCCGATCCGTGGGATGTGCTACGGAAATGTTGCCATATGTCAGGAGCTTGGACATAGAGGTGCATGCGAATTACTACTTCCCTCTCTGGAAATCTGGGCTACCAAATTCGCTCAGGCAGCGTTTTTGTCAACTTCAGCAAGTCATGATCATACACACGCGTACCTGGGGTGGTCCGGAAATCTCAGAGAACATTTGCGAACTGGCTCATATGTTCAAGGAGATACCTACCGTCCGCCTGATTCGACTGCAGCCTTCACCGTTCATTCAGCCAGGCCAAACCTGGCGTCGACTGGAAAATCCACTATTCGGTCGACTGCAACATTCATCGATCATCGAGCCGGGCCTAATTCTGGAGCATATGAAGAAAAGAGAGAAATCTGATCCTTCTCATAAAGGCTCGACACCGAGAGTCGGGGAGTCATCAGGCCGTCGTTTTGAGGTTGTGTGCCACGGATTGGACTGTAGTACAAACTGCCGAGGACTTGAAGAGTCGATTGATTGTGCATGGAAGCTCGACCGACGATATGCCTTCATTGACCTGGGATACGCATCCATGGATTTCGTAGAACTGAAGTTCAGATGCTTGGGATGGACTTGGTATCAGCAGGGGTACTGGAAGGACAAGCATGTTACCTGGTCTCCGGACAAACCTCACGCTGGAGAGGGGTCGCACGAATAGTAATCATCAGCCCAGAAAAGCAGAAGAGATGTACTGGACAAAAATCTTATCAGAAACCCTCTGGATCCTCTGGTTATTAACACTACACTCATGTACATTTCGGGAAAAGGCCAACAGTTTTCCTACCCGAAAAAATCCAATCGCAGGATTAATCATAATATGCCAACTCTAAGAACGCCAGTTTGCTGCTTTGCAAGAATAGCTGCTAGACATAAAGATCGATGAAGCTGGTTGATTCGCGGTTAAGCACCGCCTCAAGCCCTTACAAACTCCTTTATGACTTTCCAACTCTGGGCACCTGCTTCCTCCGGGTCCATGAACAAAGTTAGCCAACTTCCATGGGCCGTCTCATTATCAATCAGCACGTTTTTGACTCTAGCAAACTCGGGCAAGTTGAACGGTGCTTCGAGGTGCATCGATCCCCAGCTGGTATTGCTACTCAACGAACCTGTGGATGATCCCGCGGACACAGACCCTGGCGTCGTCTGCCTGCTCCGAGCAATGTCGGTCACTGCTTCGTATTGCTCATTGAGCATGCGATTCGTTTCTCTCGAAATCCACGGGCGCTGCGTACAGGGCACTGATGTATTGCTGGGAAAGCCAGCCGCCGGCGCTTGGAGATTTGCGAGCTCCTCGGACCCCGTCCATGAGATCGCGTCCCAATTCATAGTTCCCAAGTCAGGTGCGTCGCGGCGACCGGTATCCTCTTCGATCGCAATAATCCGCTTGCCTATCTCGGCCGACATGTGCGCATCCCACAGGTTCTCCCGTCGTTTCGTCACAGCTTCCTGTTTTAGGAGATCGGCGGCTGCTCGTCGTAACATGGGGTGGCGGCATTTGGTGATGGTGTAGTACAGCGGGGGTATGACCTCTGTATCGAAGACGAATTTGGGTGTCGACATGGCTGCTTTGGAGGGATCCCTGACATATTTCTTTGAAGAGTGCACGAGCTCGGCAGAAAGATGAATAATGGCGGCAAAGGAAGCAATATGGTCGTCATACGCCGTCTCAAGGGGGGACATGGCGGTGCTGATCCATATCTTGGCTGTATGGTAGTACAGTAAGCAGAGTTTCCCGGCCCTCTTCGCATCTTCCACTGCTGAGATCACTGTGAAGGCAACATGCCACCTGTTGAACTTCGCCAGAATCTCCCCTTGCTGTTGCTGGAGAGTCTGAAGTTGTGGGTCATCTGTTGGGCGGGAGTACACTATCCCTTTAGCCATGTTGCTGAAACGGAGTCCATCGTCAATGAGTTCGTATAGCGCGACTTCTGCCTCGTCGACTGACGCGAAGTACAAGTTGGTAGCGGAGCTAGAGCGCAGGTTCGAGGGTATCTCAGCGGGATTGCTCCCAAACAAAAACGAAGCAAGACTTAACCGGCTGTAAATGGGTACAAAGTGCTTCTTGATAACGCTGACGTCGTTTCCAGCTATTGACGAATCAAGCTGCGCCAGAATTAGCCGACCCTGGTTGATGTGCACCTGCGACGCTCTCTCATCACCAAGCATGAACTCGATGCAGATGAACAGGAGACATGCTAGAAGCGGGACCGTGACCCCTGCGGACTCGGATGGCTTCCATTCTTGTAGATGCTTGAGTGCCTTGCCGTATTGCTCTGATGCGAAGGTGTTCGAGAGCACGCCGGTCCATTTCGGGGATGATATGGTGTCTCCCGTGTCGGCAGACCTCTCCTGTGACAGAGACTCGTGGAGACTGCTGATGGCTAGCACGGCATGACGGATGCTTGGCTCAGCATGGCAGAAATGCGGGACAAGCTTTTTCCACAGGGTCGAACCACCGGATCCGTCGCTGAAGATGGCCGGCGCAGAGAAGTTGCGGTAGAAGTCAAAGGCGCGTTGTTCCCGGCTTCCACCAGCCCAGTCGGCGAAAGGTGATATGGGAGGGGTCAGGCGAGCAACTTCTGAGCCTGGACTTCCAGCATCATCATTGCTGCTGGCCGGCTTTTGAGGGAGGTAGCCGTCGCATTTCCTCCCCGTTTTGGTACAGCGGAGACATGCAGGCTTGGTCTCGTCGCATTTCACCTTCCGGATTCTGCAGACGCATCAGTATGCAAGCGATTCCAAGGTGCCCTTGTGGCAGGAGAGGAGAGGTAGGTCGGACTCAACTTGCACGTGACACATCCAGTCCGAACCTTCTTAGACCCCTTGCGGCCGGAAGATGGGGCAGGGGGCTGCAGAGACGCCTGCGGAGTACTGTCAGGGTCCGTCATTTGCTGATCTGTCGAGGTAGAAACAGTCTGAGGCTCGCTAATTGTATGTGTTGCCGGCGGAGCGGAAGCGTGGCTCTTGTCGTTGGCCGCAAGCCGGCGTAAGTGGCTTTGCGTTTGCGTGGCCGCAAGGTCCATGAGGCGAGGCTGCGGTGGTTCAGCGCGCTGTTGAGAAGTCCGAGTTGGTAGTCCGAGGCGGGCAATCACGAGGTTGAGGCTACGGGGGGCTGACGCTAGAGGTTTGTTTTGTGGCTTGGCACGTTTACGAATGGTATTGTTCAGGATGCTGTGATGTATGTTGCGTTTTGAGCTTCCAGCCTACTGCGGCGTGGATTCCTGGTTTCGCGACTTTGGAATGATGAATCGCATTCCTTGTAGTGGAAGATGACATGGTTTGGGTCGGAGAGGGTTGAGTTGAGTGGGAATTGACCACTTAACAGGTGACTGACTGTCATAGTAACATTAGAATGGTACTTTACTTCGTAGTAGTATGCTTCGTCGAGTATCTGGCCATGATGGATACCGCTGAAATGGGCCAGAGTACGATAGAGCTCTCTCCCTCGTGGAGCTGTCGAACAGGAGGCAAGAGAATGTCTCTGCCTAGCCTGGGACGATCATTTCGACATGGGATCTAGTCCTTCAGCCCTGCCGAGTGGCCATCCAGTCCACGAGGGCTGCAGGTTTGCCGTTTAAGTCGCAAGTCTGGCCAATACAGGGAGCATCCAGGCTGGACATGCACCCTGGCGCGTCTAGCTGTGCAGGAAATGCGCCTGACAACCGCCCCCAAATGGCGATCAAGATACAGGGACAAGTCTCAAATTGTTAGTGACTCAAGCTCAACATTGGTCAATGAACAAACAACTCGGACTTTTTGCGAGCGAACCAATCGCAGCTTTCGGGAGGGTCTTCTGCGCTTCAAATGCCGTGCTTACGGGGCCCAAGCTCCTGCCACGAGTCTTCACTCCGCGCCTCCGCCAAATCTCACCACCTACGTCACCAGGTTCTAAATTATCAACAATATCCTATGAAGATCACTACCGAATAAGCCAACTCAGCTTGTCCAAGCATAAAGCAAGTCAAATATAGCTGGATTTTCTCGTCTGCCTTGAGATAAACCCACCACAAAGGCCAACCAAGCAGCAGGGCCGCAGCTCATCAGCCCCGCCCATGCTCTTAGCTGCTCTTAGCTCCATACCAGAAGTCTAGCACTGCACGCCAAGAGGCTGTTCATCCATAATTAACCTTATTTCGCCAAAGACACCGGGCGAAGTCTGTTCACGATGGCGTCTGCTAGGCAGATCCTTCGAGAGCATAGATGGACGTGGATGTTGCTCCTTAAGAGTTCCCAAGTGAATGTGATTGGTGATGTCGGGCTGTGAGAGCTCCAGCAACTTCAGCGGCGTCCATGTCTCGTGGCTGAGCTCAAGTCGGAAAGGTATCAAGTATTCTTCCTCGCGGTTACCGGCACTTGTCAACATCAAAGCTCATGGGGATGTAAAATATGATAATCTCGAAGAACCCATATATAGGAGTCGACATCTCACAGGGAACGAGCAGACAAAAACACCACCTCACCCGCAGTCTTCCGATTTCATATAGCTCGCCCTGCACTTTTCGAAATGCTGTGTAAATTACCACTCATAGTCATTACGACTCTCCTTGCCGGCACTCAAGCCAACCCCTGTCCTCCTACTGGTTACACTCTCCCATCAATACAACGCCCAAGCAACTCGACTTTCGTGAAGGAGACTCTGGCAAATATCAAGCAGAATCTTGCCAACCTCACATCCTCCGATGAGCTCAATAGCACCGCCATTGCCATCGGCGTAAAGTCTGTCCACGAGGATAGCCCGCTATTCGAATTCTACCATACGCCCGCAATAGCAGAGGCTACTGGCACCAAGGAGGTTACCATTGACACAGTGTTTCGCGGCGGTAGTATTACGAAGCTTTTCACTGTCTTGACCGCCCTCCAGGACTCCCACATCAAAGGCAGCGATCCCGTCACTAAGTATCTACCACAACTCAAGGAAGGAACAGTCAAAACACCGGAGAACAGCTCTTTCAATGTTATTCCGTGGGATACCATTACAGTCGAGGACCTTGCATCTCATTTGTCTGGCATTGGCGGCGACAGTGAGTATCTGAGTCTTTCCACTGTGTCGCCGTCCTATACTGACAGTTCCAGTCGCTACGGATCTTGCCAACTTTGCAGCTTACCCTTGGAAGCTGATGGGCCTCCCAGCGATTGCAAATGAGACGCGACCCAAATGCTCAGGACTTGAGGGTACAAAAGCCTGTACCGCAGAAGGTATGCAAGATCCTTCGGCCTGCGCCTTTCTACGCTTTTCTAATGTCCTTTAGATCTAATTTCTGGCTTGAACAAAAAGCCGCTCGTCTTCCGACCGCACACTACGCCCATCTACTCCAACCTCGGCATCTCTCTCCTAAGTCTTGTGGTGGAGGCCGCCACGAACAAGACATATGATGTTATCCTTAACGAGACCATACTCAAACCGCTTGGTCTAACCAACACCTCCGTCACTGGCCCAGTCCAAGACTCATGGGGTTTTATTCCCAAAGGGGAACCCACATGGAAAGGAGATCTCGGTGTCTACACCAGCGCCGGCGGCATCTACACCAACACCCGCGACATGCTCAACTTCGGCACTGCCATACTTTCCGAGAAGCTCTCCATAGACTCTAAGTCCTGGCTGAAGCCTAAGTCCTTCACGACCTTCTCCGGTTATTCTATCGGCGCCCCCTGGGAGATTTTGTCCTCCACGACTCTCCTTCCCACCGGAGTTCCTATTCACATCTACACCAAATCCGGTGACCTCGGTCTCTACTCCAATCTCCTCCTCCTGATTCCTGATTATGACCTCACGGTTTCTATTCTCACTGGCGGTCCCGCCTCCACGGAATTCATGTTCCCCACCAGAGTTATTTCTGGAGTTATTTCTGCACTGATTCCTGCTCTCGAGCAAGCAAACAAAGAAGCCGCAGAAGCAGCCTTTGCTGGAACCTACGCCGACCCTGAGACGAACTCGACTGTCACTTTGTCTGTTGACGATGGACCTGGTCTGTCGCTGACTGGCCTCAAACTTCGCGGGGTTCCCGTCCTACCCAACATTCCCAATTACAGCACTTCGATCAAGCCCGGAAAGACCTTCAACATTACTGCCAGGATCTATCCGACCAACATCAAGGAAGGAGACGCATGGTCTTGGCGTGCCGTCTATGAGAATCATGACGAAGAAGAAGTTGATGATCAACTCTTCTTTCCCCAGGGTGGATGCCAAACTTGGGGGTTGATCGACCGCAACACGTACAACTATCTTGCCTTTGATGACTACGTCGTCACTATTGGAGAGGATGGGGCCTCTCAAAGCATCTCGCCCAGACCATTCGGTGTGACGTTAAAGAAGGTCAAGTCTTGATTGGGGACCGGGAGAATGTCCATGGAAATATCATAGCATTTAGTCGGTGCAACAGAAGACGCACAGATTTCTAATTCAGCGATACATTTTCACGTTCCCCTTTTTCAGCGCGACCCCTAGTCATCGCTTGATACAGCCCCCTCAGCTCGTTGACGTTGCATATGGCTCAAAGACTGTGGTGTCAAACGCTTATGGTTCTCTGTCTTTCCACGTTCTGACGATGTACCGCTTTACGAGAAACGGCAGGTTATGTTTGACCCGATACCGCATGGACCTTTATTTTGGGACAGCGCAAATTTGCCCGAGCCCTTCTTCTTACCTTTGAAGTTGGAGCGAGTTGGGAATCTTCACGCCAACCTTTCTGTTGTCTTAATGTTAGTGATTCAACAGGTAAACTGTTGGGAGGATGGTATAAACATACTTGCAGAAGTCAAGCCATGACGTGACCGCAGTGCTTGTAATGTACTCATCGCCGTCATACATTGTTTGCAAGTCATGGGTTAACTTGCCATCGGCGCTGACGAGCAATTCCCTGCTTTGGTCGATTCCCTCGATGATTACCTTGCTGAATTGTTTGTGGACAATTTCTCCGACGCCGATGAAATCAAAGAAAAGCGTCGAAACCTCGGCTTGAACCTTCTGCTCGAGCCCACTTAGATGCTTGATATACGACAGGTCGACAGGATTACGAGTTGCGCCTGCCACTTGGCTTTCAAACTGAAATTTCCCCGGTTGCAGTTGTGAAGATTGCGTCCTCGGCGTATCAACGTCAAAAAATGACGCAGGAGCTTTGGAGTAACCAGCTCACGACGCCAGCCCGGAGTATTGCATTTTGCGGAATACGCTTGCCTCAGCCGTGTCAGTTGCTCTGGCACGAAGCTGCCTTCTTCTTTCGGCCTTGGTAGGATGCTCAATGCAAGCTTCCGTCGATCTGCGATCTTTGCGCGTTTCTCTAAATTGGGCTCGGCTTTGATTTCGTCCAGTCTTAATCCTTGCGCAAGCCACAGGCGTACTTCGCACTGCTGAGTTGTCGAGGGGCGCTCGGAAGAGAAGATCAGTATCTCTTGCAGGGCGATGAGTGCTTCCATGTCTGGCCATAGTAAAGCCCTGCGGCCTCGGCAGACTCTGGCCATATTGTATTCGTGAGCCATCAGCATTACAAGGCGATCCTCGTTCACCCGCCTTACAAACACACGGTTGACTCCTTCCATCAAACGATGGAGGAAAGATCCCAAAGCCATTGGGTTTCCAATGATAGACTTCGTGTCTGAGAGACGTGAGGCCAAATATGAAACCATAAGAATATCTTTGTTGTTGGGATTGGACTGGGTAGCAGACGCTCTCTTCAAGGCCTGGATATTTTCGTGGTCAAGATAATGCCCAAAGTCAGCGTCAATGCGAGTTTGCAAACCGCTCATACCAATCAAATCAAGTCCTACTTGATACACGAGTACAGTATCAGCTGCAAAGTCCCAATCTCCCGGTATGTCCCTTAAGAATGCTGTGAGCAAATCCCATTTTGCAACATCGTCAGCCACATTCTTTGCTTCTCGATAAAGAGCAAGGAGAGTATGGAAGTCTGAAAAGTTCGGAAGTAGGTGGCTGTGACTATCAACATCATATCCATTGTCGCGCAAAAAGTCTTTGAGATCTCGTCAGTCACCGTTACATGGAAGCGTTTCGAGATATCAGGAATGTAGCGAAGCACTACGCCAGTGTCCTTCATAGTCCACTGTCTAATTTCCTCGTTTAGTTCCCAGCCTGTGTCTTGGTAACGTTGATGTAAGCTGTCGTCACTTTTCACGAATTCTTCCCACGTCAATCCCCCCAATGCCGCCTGGTAATAGATGAAGCCCTCCATCATATATGATGTTGCGCTGGGAAATTTGTTGCGAAGGTCCACACACATGTGACTCATATGCGCAAGTGAACCTTGCGTTACCACGGCGGCTGTAATGAGATCGATTTCGAAATTCAGGTATCGGTTCCAGACTTGTCGAATATATTGCCGAACCTGATTGGCGTCGTCCAGTAGACAACACATCTCCAATAGTGCATCCTCCGCGAAAGGGTCCAAGCCGTCTGATGTTGGCTTCCCTTCTGATCCTGAAGATGATTGTGGTTTGGTACTAAAATTATGTGCGGAGTTCTCATAGTTCTCGACAGCGACAGGCAGACTTTCGTCATTCTCATCCGCTACATTGCCATTGTCACCAGGCCGAAGAACTGCAAAATAGTTTGGCCTGTGGTTTTGCTTTTCTGTCTCGGAAGCCGTCACAGGAGTTTCTCCGGTAACTGCGGTCTCCCTAGACGGATCGAAATAGGCCAAGATGTGTTCCAACTGCTGGATGAAGTGGGCATGAGTACTGTTCGCTTTCTCGCACCCCTGGTCTTGAAACCGCTCAGCAACGCGACGACGCAAGCTAATCGCTTCTTTCAACCATCTGCGATTTCTTTTCGGCATTCGACGGCCAGCCGAAAGACAAGATGTTGCGAAACTTACTAACTCTTGCACAGTGTAGGGCTGTATGTCTGTCTGGCGTGCGATGCCTAGCTCAGTAGCGGTAGAAGTAAGCCACCCCAGCGCCTGTGAAGTTCTGTGCTTGTATTGCTGATAGGTAGATTGAAAGCTGGCAGTCATGGTTGCGTAGCTTGAGCTCAAAGGTAAAAGGAACAGACGAAAGTTGGGAACCGAAAACGGTTAGAGGTTTGAGTTGGAAAGAGAGAAACACACGGCTTAAATATGCTTTGGCTACATTTAGCCAGGTACTCACATGAGAGAGCGGAGAAAGACTTGCGGGTGTTATGCACTCTACAAAGGTTTTAGTTATCAAGGTCTAATGAAGAAGAAAGGAAGTTTTGCTGCGTTCGATGGCTTCGTAAGCCTTGCTACTGCCGATCCGTCTCGCAAACTAGTTCATACAAGAGAACTTCAAGTCGAATGAGAGGTTTTGAAATTGGAAAGCGCTAGCTAAGTCAATGTAATTTCCCCGGAGAACTCCAACTATCATGCTAATCCAAATCGAAACTATCTCTAGGTGCATTGAGAAGGGTAACCAGTGGCGTCATCAACCGCACCCTGTGCGAAGCAGAAGTGGTAAGTATCCTTCGCTTTGTCGTAAGCGAACCCAACGTTGGCCTTATTCGCAGCTCCGACCTATCCAGATGCAATCATTAGCATGGCGCACTAGAGGCTGAGCTCTGGTTGTGATTTGCTGCAATAACGTACCGTGAACAGTGGAATGCCGGAAAGGCTCGAACATTTCCCTGAAGCGACGTTGGCCGCAGAATCGTCTTCCTTGAAACCCTTAGGACCAACGATGGCTGTCTTCATCTCGGCTTTAGAAACGCTAGCGTTTCCCCCAGAATTTTGCTTGCAAGAAATGCTCTCGGGAAAACCCGTGAGTGTTTGGGCGGAGGCGAGAGCGCCGAGTGCAAGAATGACGATGGTCCGGGCGAACATTGTGGTTTATCGTGAGAGTTTGGGGGAGCTACGGTATTGACGTGCTGTCTCGAATGGGACTTTGTGGTTAAGATGGAATTGAAATGGTTGGATGTTCAAGTCAGAAAGAACGGAAGCGCTGCTGATAGAGGACGAAGAAGACATATTCCACTTTCCACAAGGCGGTCCTCATAGTCTTATAGTACGTTGTCCTCAAACTTTCTGTCTTGCTAGCAACTATTCCAGGACCACGTCAGGAGAGCCTCCGTCAAGCCGTGCATTGAGTTGAGTTGACGGAGCGAGTCTATGTGCGACAACTATTGACATGGTCAGAACTCAAGCGCACGCTAGCCTTGCCGCGGATACCGACGCCGAATATTGCTGGTGCCATGCGAGCTTAAGGCTGAGGGCGAAGCCTGCTCTTCGCTGCCCCTGAAAAAGTGGGTATGACTTTGTCAGGTGAGGACGATGAGACAACTGACCAGGTGCGACAGGCAGACAAAGTCTAAAAGACAGTTCGGTTGGGGTTCATATCAGGTCTGTTATAGACGATCCCCACATTTAAGAGCCCGGCGCAATTTATCAGAGACACAGGAGGAAGGTTATTCTACATACGCTGTTCTCAGCCACGTGTTTGAGCACGTCTGGCCTTGAATCAAAAGGTCTTTAATTAGCAAACTGCCGCTTATCGATAAGAGCAACTCTATATGGTGCTGGGAAAAAGCAGCAACGCTTTGTAAGTCAACTTGGCGATTCGAGTCAATTTAGGCAAGTTCATCGAGAACTCAAAACCCGGACTGGCTTGGACAGTACGGTCGCCCAGGATATTTTCTGGACACAGCGAATTGACAAATGCCGAGACTCACGACCGGAAGAAACTTATCCCAAAAAACAGCAGAGACTCAGGCGCGCAATGGGTATGCGTTGATTGTTACTTTTGAGCCACATGTCCTCTTCAGTAAATGACAAACACCTTGCGTATGGTGACTCTCCCTATCGAAGCCTCTGCTCATCTCAGGCAGCGATGTTGTTTATTGCTTGCCAATGTGAATTGCTTCTACCTGAGAAGCTGTCTCCGAATCTTCATTCTTACTTTCGTTGCCCAGATGTCGAATTACCAGCCACGCTGGCACGATGGATGCTCCCCAAAGCCCGAAGTTGATGTACGGCCCGCCAACTAGAGCAAAAATTGGAATCGCATTCAGTCCGTAGCTGAGGGCTTGCCAGGCTGACTCGGTTCCGCGCAAGAGCGCCGATAGTCGAATTGTCTCCTGTGGACTATCTGAGATCTGGCCGATAATGAAGAAGGCGAAGTTGTAGTTCAATTGAAAGCCCGATACCAAGAAGATGAAGACACCGAACCCCCTTCCAAAGCCGGGGTCGCTCCAGTCAAAGATTGGTTGTGTGCGACGGTACTCGGTAACATTAACCGTCAGCCACAGCCACCACGCACCCTGAGTGAGCATAATGACTGCGAAAGCCCATCTGGCTCGCTTTTTCAGCGCAATCTGGTTTTGGTCAAGCCACAAGCCCAGAAGATTGCCGGAAATTACAGCCA